GTTTTCTGAATGTTGAGCTTGAAGCAACTTTTCCACTCTCCTCTTTCACTTTCATCAAGAGGCTTTTTAGTTCCTCTTCACTTTATGCCATAAGGGTGGTGTCATCTGCATATCTGAGGTTATTGATATTTCTCCCAGCGATCTTGATTCCAGCTTGTGCTTTTTCCAGCCCAGTGTTTTCTCATGATGTACTCTGCATAAAAGTTAAATAAGCAGGGTGACAATATGCAGCCTTGACGTACTCCTTTTCCTATTTGGAACCAGTCTGTTGTTCCATGTCCAGTTCTAACTGTTGCTTCCTGACCTGCATACAGGTTTCTCAAGAGGCAGGTCAGGTGGTCTGGTATTCCCATCTCTTTCAGAATTTTCCACAGTTTATTGTGATCCACACAGTCAAAGTGCAGCACTTTCACAGCATCATCTTTCAGGATTTGAAATAGCTCAACTGGAATTCCATCACCTCCGCTAGCTTTGTTCGTAGTGATGCTTTCTAAGGCCCACTTGACTTTACTTTCCAGGATGTCTGGTTCTAGGTTCACATCAGGGGGCCAAAATATTGGAGCTTAGGCCTCAGCATGTCAGTCCTTCCACTGAATATTCAGGATTGATTTCCTTTAGGATTGACTGATTTGATCTCCTTGCAGTCCAAGGGACTCTCACGAGTCTTCTCCAACTCCACAGTTTGAAAGCATCTATTCTTTGACACTCAGCCTTCTTTATGGTCCACCTCTTACATCCATACATGACTACTGGAAAAACCATAGCCTTGACTAGACGGACCTTTGTCAGTAAAGTAATGTCTCTACTTTTTATTATGCTGTCTATGTTGGTCATAGCTTTTCTTCCAGGAAGCAAGCATCTTTTAATTTCATGACCACAGTCACCATCTGCAGTGATTTTGGAGCCCAAGAAAATAAAGTCTATCACTGTTTCCATTGTTTTCCCCATCTATTTGCCATGAAGTGATGGGACTAGATGCCATGATCTTAGTTTTCTGAATGTTGAGTTTTCAGCCAGCTTTTTCACTCTTCTCTTTCACCTTCATCAACAGGTTCTTTAGTTCCTCTTCACTTTCTGCCATAAGGGTGGTAACATCTGCATATCTGAGGTTATTGATATTTCTCCTGGCAATCTTAATTTCAGATTGTGCTTCATCCAGCCTGGCATTTCTCATGATGTACTCTGCATATAAGTTAAGTAAGCAGGGCAACAATATACATCCTTGATGTACTCCTTTCCCAGTTTGGAACCAGTCCGTTGTTCTGTGTGTGGTTCTAACTGTTGCTACTTGATCTGCATACAGGTTTCTCAAGAGGCAGGTTAGGTAGTCTGCTATTCCCATCTCTTTTAGAATTGTCCACAATTTGTTGTGAACCACATAGTGAAAGACTTGAGCATAGTCAATGAAGCAGAAGTAGATGTTTTTTTGCCATTCTCTAGCTTTTTCAGTGATCCAGTCGATGTTGGAAATTTGATCTCTGGTTCCTCCGCCTTTTCTAAATCCATCCTATACACCTGGAAGTTCTCGGTTCATGTGCTGTTTTAGCCTAGCTTGAAGGATTTTGAGCATTTCTTTGCTGACATAGGAAATGAGTGCACTTGTGTGGTAGTTTGAACATTCTTTGGGATTAAAATGAAAACTGACCTTTTTCAGTCCTGTGGCCACTGCTGAGTTTTCCAAATTATCTGGCATATTTAGTGCAGTACTTTAACTGCATCATCTTTTAGGATACTTAATAAAATAATCAAGTATGGATATTGTTGAAAGAGTAATCCCCAACATAAATATACAGACACAAGCCTCTAAAGGTGTACATGCATGTGTGTGTGTATGTGCACATGTCAAGTAATCTCTGATCCTGACTGTAATCTCCCAAGGAGATTCTGTCAGCATTGCTTTTTTGGGTAGATTTCCATTTGACATTTAAGAGGTAGTTAATTGTTTTGTGTTTTCTTTGCCATCCTCAGCATTTCTTTGCTCAATATATTCCTTCTTGTTAAGAAAACTTCATATGTTTGAGTGAGCTGAATTCTCAAACCAGCTTTTCAGTGGATGTTTTCAGTGGAGCCCTGGGCATCATTTTTCATGTTGCTTTACTAAAATGTTATTTTTGCTATAGATTACAGTTTAGCAAAATATAAAGTGTGCTGCTGTTATAAACTATTTCTACCTCATTCATTGCAAGTTTTACCAAGACTGCTTATCTGGCTGTTAACTTACTCTAATTGGATTTTTTTTTTTTTTTACATTTGTAGAGTTTTAAAGTAGTCAACTGCTACACATGATGAAATTACGTATTTCTGTAAGAAGAAAGGCAGGTTTTTTAACTTGGTGAAATTTGTCCAAATGCCATTTGTAGGTTGGGCGATTAGTATAGCCTTGGACCTTAGACCTTGAACAGGGCTTCCTAGGTGGCGCGGTTGGTAAAGAACCCACCTGCCAGTGCAGGAGACACAAAAGATGCGGGTTCGATCCCTGAGTCGAGAAGATTCCCTGGAGTAGGAAATGGCAACGCAGTCCAGTATTTTTGCCTGAAAAATCCCATGGACAGCAGAGCCTGGTGGGCTATAATCCATGGAGTTGTAGTGTCGGATACAGCTGAGAACACACACATGTGTGTGTTTAGACTATGAGCCCAATTTCCTCAGGGTCTGATTTCCTCCTTTTTTTTTTTTAATTGATATGTGCTTTGATCTTCCTGGCACAGTGTCACACAACAGAGGGATTTAAGTGTTCAAAAGCCCTAATTGCCTTGAAATATTAGAACACTGTTGCTTAAAGTTGCTTTCACCCCGTCTACCAAAAGAAAACAGTATGATGGCCGTGATCTCACCTTGTATCAAACAACTTGAGAAATGATAGCATTAGAGAGGAAAAGCACTGTCTACTTTGAGTCCTGCAGACCAAGTCAGTGAACATCTCAGATAATGCCAAGGCTGGTGATAATTTTAAATCTCCATCACTGTATTTCCTTCCTCCTTACACATCCGTTCCCTTAAACAAAATTATTTCTTTGTATGTTTTCCATATTTTAATTTATTGAAGTCTGCTTCCACAGTGGAGAACTTAGCCTTTTAAGTCTTGACTGTCTCCCTGGGCTCGTCTCCATGCGTGGCTGAGTCTAGGAACAGATGCAGTGCTGAAAGCATACAACTGCAGGTATGCCTTCCACTACGGGTGTTGACGCCCTGCGCGGTAAGGCAGACACCTTCCGAGTTAAGTCAGCAGTGCCTCGCCAAATCCCATGTCCCCTAAGGCCAGGGAGCTCTTCTTCCAAACATTTCATCCTCTGAAGAAGAGAATTTTCACATGGAAAAGCAGAAGATACTGATCAATGGAAATTGAACCTCAGTTTGGATAGCTTTATCTTTTAAGTACCTTGTTGCTATAATTAAGCTTAGAACTCTTAGTCTGGGGAAATCACATGCTACAGAATAATTCTTAATATTAATATTGCTTGTGTTTGTTATTATGTTAATATTGAGTGAGTTTTCTGTGCTGTTGTCCTCAGTATCAATATTTTATCTACATTAACCCATTCAATACTCCCAACAACTGTAAACTATTCAAAGTTCCCAACAACATTCTGTAGGTACAGATCCCCCTTTTATAGAAGAAACTGAGGCGGACAGAATTTAAGTCATTAGCTCTTGGTGACAGTATGTAAGTAAGTAATAGAAACTGGACTCAAGGCCAGCTTTTGAGTCCGTAGAGAACTCAAAGAACTTTTGAATGAAATTGCCAAATTATTGTTGGTGATGTTTGAGAAACTGTGGGAAACTGTTTACACAACAGAAGTCTAGACATAAGGAAATACTGTTCACATTTTTGTTTAGTATTTTGCTGATGAAAAATACCAAATGCTATTAAATGTTTTATCAGTTACTTGGGAGAGAGAGAGAAGTTAGGTTTATCAAATTTTCCAAAAAGACCTTTTTATGAATTTCAGCTGATTGTAAGTAAGCTCGATATGAGTTAAAGGAAAATGCAGCACTCTTTTTGTGTGTGATACTCCCTGCCCCCCACCCTAGGAGATTTTAGGCTCCACACAAGGAGCATGGCTTCTAGAACCTGAGAGTTGATCATTCTCTCTAGACAGGTCAGACAACTCTGTAGCATTTATTACGTTTGGTTCTGAGCCCCACATTTCAAGGGAAATAGACAATTGGAATGTTCTTGTTGGTGAACTATGAAAATTATAAAATGGCTCCATTGTTTTATTTGAAGAATAGTTGAAAATCTGGGAATATTTAGCCCAAAAAAGAGAAGAGCTCAAGGAAGACAGAAGAGAGATTTTTAGTATTTGAAATACTGACACATGTGAGAATGATTGTTAAGTTGGTAGAACCAGGGCCAATGATTAGAAGTCAATGACAACAGATACAGATTGACATAAGATGGTCATATCTTTCTTAGATGGACTAGGCTGTCACAAAAGGTATTGAGTTTCCTTTCGCAAGGGCTTCCCAGGTGGCACAGGGGTAGAGAATCTGTCTGCCAGTGCAGAAGATTCAGGAGAAGCATCTTGATCCCTGGATTGGGAAATGGAAATGGAAACGCACTGCAGTATTCTCTCCTGGAAAATTCCATGGATATAGGAGCCCGGCGGGCTACAATCCAAGAGAGTCGAACACCACTGAGCACACACACCTAGCCTGGCTACCCTTCCTGTCACAAGCATTTGTATGCAACCAAATGCTCCCGGGTGTGCAACCCAAGCATAGACCACATGGTTGGGCCAGATGACTAAATTCACTTCCAAATCTGAGTTTCTGTTTCTATCATTCTGTGAATTGATGCAAGACAATCCGCTGGGCTTCTATGTTTAATCAAGTACAGAAATAGTCTGTCATGTCTCGAATGTCTGATGCTGCCAACACCAGCATTAGCCAAACTGATAAAAACAACATGATGAACAACAAAATCATATGTCATTTCAAAATATCTCTGTAGGTATCTAATGAAATGATGGGTGTTTTGTCCTCACCTCTCTTTGCAGATCTGTCCCCTGCTCAAGATAGCCATGTGAACGTTGATCTCCCTCCAGTGTCAGAGCAGATTATGCAGACTCTGAGCGAACTTGCCAAGTCTTTCCAGGATATGGCTGACCGCTGCTTGCTGGTCCTACACCTGGAAGTCAGGTATAACTTCTTCAAGTACAAGACTTTGTGACTTGAATGCACTGTGGGTCGTAAATCACTCACTTCTTTCCATGGAGTGTCACCATCCATTTTGGCTCTTACTATGGATGTTCTTTTTTGATACTGAAAGTGATTTTTAGTATTATTCAGTCACTGTTAGTTTTTAAGCACATGATGTATTGTGAATATGGTGGATTGGAGTTTGCATGGCCTATAACATCAGAAATGGTCTGGATCAGAATATCTATATGGGTTGGCTAGGCCATCTTAAGTAACTTAATTAATTTGACTAATTCAGTTTCCTCCTCTTAAAAATAGAGACAATAATTTCTAACTTAGGGACTTTTTAAATGAAATAATAAGTGCAATGCCTGCCACAGAGTAAGTAGCTTTTTGACTACAGGACTTTATTGCCATTGATATTTTTATTACAGTATTCTGTTAATCAAGAAAGGAATGTACAGATGCAAGAACTATGACCTCTTCCTTTAAGAACTTAAAACCCAACTGAAGGAATTAAGTTCAATCATAATTCAAGAAAATAGTTTCTAGGATGTGATATTGCTGGGCTCTTGTTTCTTCCCCTGAAGTGTAGAATACTATGATTAGTTTGTTATCTATTATCTGTCTAGACTCTATTATCACACCTATGGAAATGGTAGGAAGTAAAGACTAGGAAGTCTCCAATCATTTATTTATTCATTCAATAAATGTTTATTGAGTGTTCTAAGAATTGGGTAACAGCAATGAAAACAACACTCAAGGCCTCTGCTCTCATAGAGCTACATTCTTAATGGGTAAACAGCCCATTAAATACAAAGGAAAATTTCAGATTAGTATAACTAAAAAAAAAGAAAAACAATAGCAGAATGGAATAAAATGGTGCTATCAAATAGAAATATAAAGTGAGCTACACATGTGAACCACATCAGTTCAGTTCAGTTCAGTCACTCAGTCGTGTCCGACTCTTTGCGACACTATGGACCGCAGCATGTCAGGCCTCCCTGTCCATCACCAACTCCTGGAGTTTACCCAAACTCATGTCCATTGAGTCGGTGATGCTATCCAACCATCTCATCCTCTGTCATCCCCTTCTCCTGCCCTCAATCTTTCCCGGCATCAGGGTCTTTTCAAATGAGTCAGCTCTTCACATGAGGTGGCCAAAGTATTGGAGTTTCAGCTTCATCATCAGTCCTTCCAATGAACACTCAGGATGGATCTCCTTTAGGATGGACTGGTTGAGTCTCCTTGCAGTCCAAGGGACTCTGAAGAGTCTTTTCCAACACCATAGTTCAAAAGCATCAGTTCTTTGGTGCTCAGCTTTCTTTATAGTCCAACTCTCACAGCCATACATGACTACTGGAGAAACCATAGCTTTGACTAGACAGACCACATAAATAATTTAAATATTCTAATAGTTGATCTTAATGTGTCATATTTTATCCAACCCAGTATATCCAAAATATTATCATTTTAATTTGGAATTCACACAAAAATTATTAATGAGATAGTTTACATTTTTCATCCTACACCTTTGAAATCTATGATATCTTATGGCACATCAAACTTTGGACTAGTCTCATTTCAGCTGCACAGTAGCCACGTATAGCTAGCATTATCATACTGGACAGTGCAGATAATGGCTGAGGTTTACTCGAGAGGGGAGTTAGGTAACTTTATGTTTTAGATAAAGTGGTCAGGGAAATTGTACCTTACAAGGTACCAAGAAAGAGTCATCCGTACAAAGACCTTATGGAAAAGAGTTTCAGGCAGAAAGAGGGACACACAAGATCCTGAGGTGGCAGATTTGAAGAACAGAGAAGGCCCTGTATGACCGTAACTCAGTGAACAAGAGGATGAGAGGAGTAAAAGGAAAGGTAAAGAAGCAGGCTAGAGCCTGATCATGTGGATCATGGGATCCAACCCATTATAGGATCTTCAGTTCAGTCGCTCAGTTGTGTCCGACTCTTTGCGACCCCATGAACTGCAGCACACCCGGCCTACCTATCCATCACTAACTCCCAGAGTCCACCCAAACCCATGTCCGTTGAGTCAGTGATGCCATCCAACCATCTCATCCAATGTCGTCCCCTTCTCCTCCTGCCCTCAATCTTTCCCAGCATCAGGGTCTTTTCAAATGAGTCAGCTCTTCGTATTAGGCAGCCAAAGTATTGGAGTTTCAGCTTCAACATCAGTCCTTCCAGTGAACACCCAGGACTGATCCCCTTTTGGATGGACTGGTTGGATCTCCTTGCAGTCCAAGGGACTCTCAGGAGTCTTCTCCAACACCACAGTTCAAAAGCATCAATTCTTCGGCACTCAGCTTTTCTTTTAATCCAACTCTCACATTCATACATGACCACTGGAAAAACCATAGCCTTAACTAGACGGACCTTTGTTGACAAAGTAATGTCTCTGCTTTTTAATATGCTATCTAGGTTGGTCATAACTTTCCTTCCAAGGAGTAAGCATCTTTTATTTTCATGGCTGCAATCACCATCTGCAGTGATTTTGGAGCCCAGAAAAATAAAGTCAGCCACTGTTTCCACTGTTTCCCCATCTATTTGCCATGAAGTGATGGGACCGGATGCCTTGATCTTAGTTTTCTGAATATTGAGCTTTAAGCCAACTTTTTCACTCTCCTCTTTCACTTTCATCAAGAGGCCCTTTAGTTCTTCTTCACTTTCTGCCATAAGGGTGTGTCATCTGCATATCTGAGGTCATTGATATTTCTCCTGGAAATCTTGATTCCAGCTTGTGCTTCCTCCAGCCCAGCGTTTCTCATGATGTACTCTGCGTATAAGTTAAGTAAGCAGGGTGACAATATACAGCCTTGACGTACTCCTTTTCCTATGAGACTCAGATTTTGTTCTAAGTGCATCAAAAAGTTATAGGAGAGTTTTAAGCAAGGGAGAGATATTCATTCATTCACTCATTCACATTTTTAGGTCATTCTGGCTATTGTATGGGGGAAAAAAAATTGCAGGGAGAAATATGAATGGAAGCAGAGAGATTAATTGAGACCAGGTATGAGCACCAGAGTGACAGAGGTGAAGGTGTGGAAAGTGTTGAAACTGGGACATATTCTCGAGGTAGAGCTGATAACATTTATTGATAGATTGGACTGGGTGTAGAACTGGTGGCAGGTGAGAGAAAGAAAGGACTCCAGGAAAACCACCAGCTTTGGGGCCAGAGCAACTATGTGGATGCCAAGGCTATGGAGTGAGGTGACAAAGTCTGAGGGAGGAGAAACACTGGGGGACAGGTGGAAATCAAGAATTCCATTTTGGTGACATCTGGTTTGAGATGTTTGTTAGACATCTAGGTACCAATGTCAAATAGACAGCTGGACATATGCTTTTGAAATACCAGAATCAGAAAGTGTATAGTAATATATTTTCTTCTCTATTACCATGAGACATTATTAAAGTTGATAGAGTATTGTCTTTTTGTTTGGAGTCTTTAGTAGACTTGGGTTTTCAAAATGTAAATAGGATCTTGGTTTGTATGTTTGGGCTCCAGTTAGAACTTGGCTATCTTGTAGGTGTGCTCAGGCAAAGCTAACTGATAATGTATTGTTGATGTCACTTCTTTTGTATGCTACTTACTTTTTTCATTCTTCATTATCTTGTCCTGTGAATTACTTGATTATTGCTTGTGAAGACCTTTGAGTAGGGTAAGAGAAGTAGCATTGTCGATTTGTAGTCTATTTACTCAGCATTATTTCTATTCTTATTTCTTACATTCAGTTGTTTAGAATTAAAGACTGTTCCTCTATGCTTTCTGATTTTATGATAAATTTTAGATTTGTTTTCTATTTATTTACCAGCTGACAGTGAAATAGATCAGATATTTTCTGTGAATAGATAAATGCAATTGATGAGAAAAAAAACAAAACAGTAATACCCTAATGCCTCTGTTACCTGGGTTGTGCAGAAAACCATCAAATTAATTACTATCGCAGCTCCTAGAATTTATGAATTGCGTGGGTACACAATGTGTTCTTCATTTGGAATTATCAGCTTTTTTGTAGTGTAGTTAATTTAAAGTGTGATATTTTCAAGGCATTTGAGTAAGATCATTTTAATCCTTAACATCTAACCTGCTTTTTAAAATTTTTGTACATCTTGGCAATAGTATTTTTAATAATGTTAAGCATATTTTAGTCATTATTTAATAATTAACTTTACAAGAAACCATTCAATGCTGTAACATCTATTGCCATATCTCCTTCCTCATTAATTTAAAAATAGAAAAAGGATCATTTTAACACTAAATTACAAAAAAAGACTGAGTTTTAGAGTCCTGGGTGCAGAATTATCTTTCCTTGACTGTAAATGAAAACACTAAATATGTTTATTTTTTCCAAATTAAATATTCTTATATCTTCTTTTAACATGGTTTCAACATTCAGGTTGCTTTCCTAAGATTGTGCTCCAGATTGTCTTTGCTCCTTTTTTAAGTATGGTACAAAAAACTAGACAGAGCGCTCCATGTATGGCTCAGATAGTGGATGTTGACATACTTTATTCATTCCTTGTCACAATAACAAGATTTTGTTTGTTTGTGCAGTTAATGATAGAAAATGAATAAGGAGAACCTCAAGTAAGTCGTTACTGTAGTAGTCCGATGCCGCAATAGAGGAGATGGCTAAGGGCTCTGGGTACCCACAGTGGGTGACTGTGGAAGAAATTTTTAGCACCTGGGAGGCAGGAATCAGGTGTGCCTCATTCATTGCTCTGGCTCTAGAACCTGTAACAGTCCTGTTTTATAATAAGTGTTCAGTAAACACTTCTGTGACTCTGGAGATTTAGCTGGTTTGAAATCAAACCCAGATGAAATAAGTGCAGGTTCCCCAAACAAAACATGCCAGTCATCAAAGACAGTGAATTGGTTTGGAAATCATAGCCCACCATATGGATTGGGTTGGCCAAAATGTTTGTTTAGGTTTTTCTATAAGCTGTTATGGAAAAACCCAAACGAGCTTTTAGGCCAACCCT